CCGCGGAGAGCGGACCGGTAGAGGCTTCGGGACAGACTGTAGGGAGAAGCACGCAAGGAGCCGCGGGGAGCGGACCAACAGAGGCTTCGGCCGGGAGGATTCCCGGGGCAGGCTGTACGGAGAAGGAAAATAAAAGATAAGGTTGTCCACTGCCAGACTTTGTTGTGTGTCCTTCCTGCCGGCCGGGAGTGACACCGACACTTGCCTGCAAGGCAGGTGCTTATGCTGCTGAGCTAAATCCCCAGCCCCGATTCCTTGTTATTTTTAAAAGATCTTTCCTTTCCTGTTCACTAGCTGCAATCTTGTCTTCGAGGTCTGAAATTGTATCTTCACTTTCACTGAGGCAGTTTTGACAATTTTCAATGGAATTTTTAGTTTCCTGTATAAATTTTTGCATCTGCTTTATGTATTCTGTTTGTTTCTTATATTGTTCATCCAGGGATTCTATCTTTTTGTTTAGTTCCTCCAATTTTTAAACTGTCTCTTCTTTAAATGTTTTCAGCATGTCTTTCATTTCTTTTATCATTTCTTCTTTTACCTGGGAGATTATTTTTAATTTGAATTCCTTTAAAGCTTCCCAGAGTTGCTTCTTTATTTCAGTTGGTATTATTTCAGATGTATGGCATATGTTTTCTTCTATGTACATAGCTCCTAAGGTTTCTTGGGATGGGCTAGAGGCTTGAGATTGTATTTTGGTGTTTTGTTTTGTCATTTTCCTGTATTTCCATGTTTCAAGTGTTATTCCAAGGCTTCCCCTGGGCCTGTTGGAAACCCTCTTTTTTTATTTAAAGAAAAGGAAACAAAAAAATACATGGAGATTAAAAAAAAGGTAGAAATAATACAAAATTACAGAAAAACAAATGGTAAGAAATTGCTGGTTGATAAGTTACATATTGTCATCTTAGAAATAGCTGTTCAGGTTATAGAATTAAAGTATTTAGAATGACATTCAAAAAGTGACACTACAAACAGTTCTGCTCAATGATCGAACAAAAACTCAGTAATATGTTTATCACTCCTACACATTTGTTTTACATCTCAAAGAGGGTAAGATTAAACATATCAAAACAGAACAAAACAGTTAAAAAAAACAATTTAAAGAAATACAGATTTCAAAGCAAGTCCACTGGAGATCTTCACTGTCTATCTAACTGTCTCTAGTTTCTTACAAATAGTTGCCCCCATCTTCACCCACTTTATATACTTATTGCATATTATAGAACTAATCAAATCATTACAGGATGATGAAGGCTTTTTAGGTCTTCAAGATCTAACATTAGGGAAGACAATAATAACCACCATTGTATCTCTCATTCTCTTTGTGATAGCTGTCCCCATCTCTACATATGCTGAAATTGAACTCAAGAGACCAGACCAATGTCATTCTAATCAGCGAACAATAGTATTGCTAGAATTTGTATCATAATGCTACAAAATTAGCCTCGGGTTTCTTAGTATCTCTTCTTCAGAGTATCTGTTCATTACATCTTGCATTATATAATCTGTTCCCCTAAATAATTAAAAAAAAACTCATGTGTGAATTTCTACATATATATATATCCTCTCTGTATTATAGGGAAAACCAAGTCATAGCAAGACAGCAAAACAAATTCCTAGAAAAACATGCAATGGATAAGACATATAAGACCACAATATAAATGATCTTCCATAGTTACTATGTTTTCTCTTGTTATTTTCAATAGATTTGTCCACAACACCGGCTTAATATAGTTAAACATAGTATTACCTATTTTTATAAAAACTCAACTTTGAAAGCATTGTAGGATTTGAGAGCTGTTAATAGTTAATACCAGTATGGATATCCTTTACATCTTGTCATCTTCAGAGTAGTTGCCTCTACTTTTAGGGTTGATACTAACAAGCATACCAAATTCAAATAAAATCAGCCAAGGCCAGCCCATAGTCTTATGATTCAGATTCAATTAAGATCAGTCATAGTAAGACAATGTAAGTATTACAGGATTTCAGTTTAAGTTAATAGGAAAGTAAGGATAGTTACCATGGTATAACCTGCTATTTTTGGGTCAAGATGTGTGTGCCCTCAAATCTGACATGAGTGGACAGACCAGAACAAATTAAATTCAAGCTAAATATGGTGATAAGACTACTGTGTCTTTTAAATCCTTATACACCATTAACAATGACCTCTGCCCTTTTTTAATAGTGTTTCAGAGCTGTCTATACTAAAGACTATAGCTTACCGTCTCTGCCTCATGTCTGCTATTCCACTTTTCTGCTATAACATGTCCACCTTATTCCCTCATTCCACTGTCTGCCCTGTCCATTGAGGCCTCTCTGCCACTGTTGCTGGAATCCTGGTATCCCTTCCTCTCTTTCTCTGTAATGTTCTTCAGCACTCTCTGTAGGGTTGGATTGGTGGCCACGAACTCCCACAGTTCCTCCTTGTCTTGGAAGCATCTTATTTCTCCATTAATTTTGAGAGAGAGTTTTGATGGGTATATGACCTTGGTTGCATATTATTTTCTTTCACGACTTGGAATATTTCTCCCCACTCCCTTCTTGACTTAAGAGTTTGTGTTGAAAGTCTGCTGTTATTTTGATAATTTTCCTGTTGTAGGTAATCTGCATCTTTTCTCTGGCTGCTTTTAATATTCTGTTCTTTTGGTGGATTTCTGGAATCTTGATTATTATATGTCTAGGCGTAGATCAGTTTTGGTTGTAGGTAGCTGGTGTTCTGTATACCTCTTTTATCTGGATATCATTTCTTTTTGCTATACATGGGAAATTTTGCTTAAATATATCTGTGAATATTCTTTGTATTTCATTTTTGGTTGCTCCTGCTTCCTCACTCACATTCTTTATTCTTAAGTTATGTATCTTTTTGTCATCTTCTAGCCTTTGAATTATTTCTTTCTGGTTCCTTGTTATTTTTAAGAGGCTTTTTCCTTCACGATCATATGCCATAAATCTCTCTTCAAGTTTCAGAAGGCTGTCTTTAGTTTCTGTCAAGGCACTTTGACAGTGTTCAATGGAGTTTTTGATTTCCTGGTAATCTCTTTGGATCTGTTTCATGTATTCTAAGTTATGTTTAAATTCTTCTTCAAAAGTTTCTCTTTCTTTTCTGATTTCCTCAGTTCTTCCATCTGTGTTCTCTTGGGTGGGGCTTGTCATTTCTTTAATTAATCTCTTTATATCTTGCCTCACTTGGATCAGGAGTACAGCTTTAAATTCATCTATGAGATCATGAAGGTATTTTTTAATTTTGGCTGATGCTGTGTCAAGTATTGGATGGTTACTGTGCTTCTTCTCTTCAGTGTTTACTTCTCCTGGGCTTATTTTCTCATGTTGGGCAGCTGGAGTTTTTTTTATTTTTATCTCTTGTCATGTTTCTCGATTCTTTCAGACTGGAATGTCCTGGGGGTCTCTGGCTCTCTCCATATTGCTTAGGGCCTTTCAGAAGCGTGCTGACTTGAGATTTTGCTGTCCTCCCCAATTTGCTGTTATCAGGGGTAGGCTGGGATGCAGGGGTGGTACAGGCTAGCCTCCAGCCTCTGTGCCAGTCAATCCGTAAATTAGGCTGTATTTTCTGGATGTCACTGAGTTGTGACTATTTTGTTGACCGGCGCAGCTCCCCAATGAGACAGGAAACGCTTCAGGTGGGTAACAGGAACTGCCAACTTTATTGTTGTGGGTTCTGGCTTATATATCTGACTGTAGCCAATCAGGCTGCCACGAGGGCTGCCACGAGGAGGAAGGGCTGGAATGAGACGCGGGCTCTGGCTAATATACTCAGCTGTGGTGAATACGAAGTGAGCACGGGGTGACTAATTTGGAGAGGGACGTAGCGCATTGCAGAAGCTGGCGTGGTCCTTAGTCCCGGGTGGGGTATGGTATGTTGAGCACCTGCGCCCAACATTTTGTATCTGCTTATTGGGCCCCAAGCAGAGGCTTGGTTTAGCCCCAGTAGCTCCTGCCAGTTCTCTCTGTACCAGAAGCAGCTGACTAATGTCACTGTGGCACAGGGTTCTGCTCAAATCCCAGCTGTTCTCTTCCAGACCTCTCTTGACAGGAACACCAGGACAGCAGGTCTGCCCAAATCCAAGATGTCTTCAACTAGTTCTCTGTATGACGCTGAAGCCAGCACGGCATCAGGCTCTGCTCAATTTCAAGATGTCCTCCACCAGACCTCCCTACAGGGCGACTCGGTGATGTCACCAAGCTGTAGGTTCTGTCCATCTCTAAGATGTCTGCCGCCCGACTCTCTGTGTTATTGATGTCCCCGTGGTGGCGGGCACTGCCCAGTTCCAAGATGTTCTCTGGCCAACCCCAGCAGCCGCGGGGTCCCCAGTACTCACCAGGGTTTGGTGCAGGTCCTCCTCTTGGGTCTACTGCACACCATGCCGCTTGCCCTCCCTGCACTTTTGGCACAGCGTGGAATGGTCAGAAATCTGCACAGTGTTCAGCTTCAGAGCTCCAGAGCCTTTCACAATCTCCTCTGGTGCAGCGGGGCAGTCCTGGCTGCTTCTCGGGGTCCCAGGTCTCAGTTTCCAGCAGTCACCAAAAGCCAGCACAGCTTTTCCTGTTGGGTCCATGGGTCAGTTTGCTGATTTAAAGGTGCGGGATTTGCAGCCTCCCGTTATCAGCCTTCACAGTCTCAGCACGACTTTAAATCCTCCAGCCGCGCTCTCTTGGTTAATAAGAATCATTATCCATTTGTCTGGCCCTCTCCATGTTGTCATATTCTAGCTTCTAATATGATTTCTCTGGAGAGACTCTCCGCCCGATCCCCTAGCAAGCTGCCATTTTTTTTCCAAGTCTGGAAACCCTCTTCTATGCTCTGAGCTTCTGGGATTCCGGCTGCCCAGTTCCCCTGACTGAGAGAGGGTCACTGTGGGTTGGGCAGGCAGGGCCAAGCCCTGCTGAGCTGGTCCAGTGTGCCAGGAACCCACAAAGTTCCCTGGCCTGTGGGAGCTATGATATTAAAATCCCTCCTGGGGATCGGGATGGTGCAGGGACACTCACACCAGGCCGTCCAGTCTCCAGAGTTCAGGGTGCAGGCAGGCAGGCCCAATTGCTTGGAGCTGGCTAAGCATGGCAGGAAACCAGAAAGTTGGTGCAGGCAGGCCCCAGCCCTGCTGGTTTTTTTTTTTTTTTTTTTTGGTTACATGTTTAATCACATCTTAAGCCAGCTACAGTGTAGAAAAAAACATCTTAGTCTTGGCTGTTAAGATTAGGATAGTATAATAATTTATAAATCATACATATTATTTGAAGTTATAGATGGTGAATTAAATGTAATCTATAATTTTGAAGACCTGACTGGGAAACTTAAAACCACTCAATAGTAGTGTACTTTACTTTCTTATATTTTCAATATTATTATTTCAAGTATCAATGCTTCCTAACTTTCCCATCAAAATATTGCAAACAGAATAGGAGTTAAATATGGTACAAATGACATAATTTTATTCCTGTTTATGGTTAAATAATATTCCATTTTCTGGATATTCCACATTTCCTTCCACTTGTCCACTCTAGATCTTTGTATTGTTTCTACTTCCTGAGCATTAGGAAAATTGATTCTGGGGATATAGCTCAGCAGCATAAGTTCCTGCCTGGTAAGCACAAGGTTCTGAGGTTCAATTCTCATAGCAGATTTCCCAGAAAAATTGATCATATTCACTTTTCTGGAGGCTTTGCTGCCAGTCAAAGATACATTTGTTACTTCTTTAGCCTCTGTGTTGGTTTCCTTGTTGGTATCTTGGGTTTCAGTAGCAGCTTTAGAAGCAAACATTCTCATAATTCCTTTGGGATGCTGGCAAATCTGTTTGGAGGGAGGTGGGCCATGACCATTGGTGGTGATTAGCACATTATTGCCTTGTGTCTCATTTGATGCCTGAAAATTTGACTGCTCAAACTTTCTGGAAGATGTGGATTCTGTAGGGATTCTGCAGGCCTGTAGCTGCACACTATATGGCACTAAACTTACCACAGTTCTGCAAGTTGCTTTTAAGGGTGTCATAGTTGGTATTGAACAGAGGCCCACTGTCCTTTAGCATAGCTTTCTGGATGCTGTATACATGGATGCTGGCAGTCACAGCTAGCTTGGACTTCACTGCTTCTAATTTATCTTCTCTTACTACTGCAACCTTGTGGCAAGAATGTCCATTTTGAATGAAACTGCCAGACACCAAATAGGTGACATGCAGTTGAGTTCCTGAATTTTCCTTCTGTTTCCTTTTAACATAATTATACAGCATCTGTTTGGCCTGGTTAACACGAACCCCTAATGTATAGCTCAGCCATTTGTAGGTCACGGTCTTGTTCTGGTCCGTAACAAACTTGCCCATATTTTCTAGATAAAGCTGGTCTGCCATGGTGGTGTAGCAATGGATGCCTCAAACTCTGAGCCCCTGTTTCAACCCTGGGAGACTATTTCTGATTTGAATTCTTTTATAGTTTCCCAGAGTTGTTTCTTTACTTAAGTAGTTACCATTTCAGAAATTTCAGGTGTATATTTTCTTCTGTGTCCATGTCTCCTTGGCTTGCTTGGGTTGGGCTGGAAATTTGAGATTGCATTTTGCTCTTTCCTGTATTTCTGGGTTTTGAGCGATGTTTCAAAACTTCCCCCATACACTGAGAATCACCTGGCCCTCTTTGGCTCCTGAGGCAAACAGCAGGCAACTGCTAGCCACTTGGAGTTTGCTGGGCACGGCCCAGTTTGACCCGTGGGGACTCCTGTGTGTCCTTCTGTGATTTGAGACATGGGGCGTGGTTTTACCACCTGGGAGCCATGTTCCAAGGCTTCCTTGTGTTCTGGGATTCAACCCAGACCTGTTCAGAGTCCAGGACTGAATTCAAGCCCTTGCCAGTTGTTTGGAGTTAGCTGGGCGTGACCCAGTTAGGCATGCTTGGACCTCCCATGTGTCCTCAGGTGATTTCAGACACAAGGAGTGGTCTTACCACCTGGGAGCAATGTTGCAAGGCTTCACTGAGTTCTGGGTTTCAACCCATACATGCTCAGGGTCTGGGACTGGATTCAGGCCTCTACCAGCTGCTTGGAGTTTGCTGGGCATGGCCCCACTGATGGTTTAGTAGGTTGCTTATTTAAGTTTGTGTGTGTGTGTGTGTGTGTGTGTGTGTGTGTGTGTGTGCACCAAACACAGCAGGTATTTTTCTTTTTATTTATTTTTATTTTAAAGAGAGTAAAACAAAATATAACAAAGAAGATCAGAAGAAATCAATGTAAATGACACAGGATTTCAAGGCAAGACAACAGAAGATCAACAGTGGCTACTATAATGTCTCTTATTTTCTTCTAACTAGTTGTTTATATCTTCACACACAATGAATTCCCACAAAACAAAACAGTATAGAATTGATCAAAACAGGATAATGAAAGCATTATAGGCATTCAAAACGAGACAATAGGAAAATCAACAATGGCTACTATAATGTCTCTTGTTCTTTTCAAAGTAGCTGTTCATACCTTCATATATGTTGAAATTAAATAATTCAAAACAGACTAAAACCACTCTAAACAAAGAATAAAAGCATTACTGGATTTCACAGTATGACAATAGGAAATCAGCAATAGGCACCATAATGTGTCTTTCTTGAAAGTAGTTGTTCTTTATATGTTCTAGACAAAATTCCTTTGTTGGGCTGGGGATTTAGCTCAGTGCATAAGCACCTGCCTTGCAAGTGCTCAGTCCATGAGTTTGATTCCCGGTACCCCACCCCTCAAAAAATCCTTTGTCTGGGGAATGATTGACTAAGACTTTCTCAGAATTCATAGGTTTCCTTTTTACTGTGTTGGAGATTTCTTTTGACATGCAGAAACTTTTTAAAAAGACAAAATCCCAGTTATTGATTATGGGAAGTATTTCCTGTGTAGTTTGATTTTTGTTAATTAATTCTTTGCCTACTCCTAATGTCTTCAAGATTTCTATCTATTTTGACTTTCAACAGATTTAATGATTTTTTAAAAATATTTAGATCTTTGATTCATGACTATCATCATGCACTAAAGTCAAAATGAATCAAAGATCTAAATAGTCATGCACTATCTAGTTTTAGTAGTCTAGTTTTTGGCATATGGAGAGCCAGTTTTCCCAGCATCATTTGTTAAAGAGGCTATCTTTCTTCCAGTGAACGTGTTTGAGACCTTTGTCAAAGATAAGATGGCTGGTTGTGTTTGTAGTTGTATCTTCTAATCTATTCCACTGATCTTTAGATCACTTTTTATTCCAGTATCATGCTGATTTTATTACAGTAGCTTTGTAGTATAATTTCAAGTCAGGGATTGTGATGCCTCCTGCCTTGCCTTTGTTGCTCAGAATTGCCTTTGCTATTCTAGGTCTTTTCTTGTTCCAGATGAATTTTAGGAGTGATTTCTCTAGATCTGTGAGGTATGCTAATGGTATTTTGATTGGAAGTGCATCACATCTGCATAACAATTTTGGGAGAATGGCCATTTTCACAATGTTTGTTCTTTTTATCCATGGACAAGGAATATCTTTTCATTCTCTGAGATCCTCTTCAATTTCTTATTCAGGGTAGTATAATTTTCCCTGAATAGACTTTTGCTTCTTTTGTTAGATTAGTTCCTAAGTATTTCATTTTTTGGATGCTGTTGTGAAGGGTGTGGCTTCTCTTATTTCCCTCTTAGTGAGTTTGTTGTTAGTGTATAGGAATGCTATTGATTTTTGAGTGTTGACTTTGTATCCAGCTACATTACTGAATTTGGTTATTGCATCTAGAAGTCTTTTAGTGAAGTTTTGTGGGCCTTCTATGTAGAGTATCATGTCATCTGCAAAAATGATAACTTCTTCTTTTCCTATCCTTATTCTTTTTGTTTTTCCCTCTTCTATAACTGCTCTGGCTAATTTTTCCAGCACTATATTTAATAGGAGTGGTGAAAATGGACATCCTTGTCTTCTTCCTGAGTTTGGATTGAAAGCCATCAGTTTTTTACCCTTTGGTATGATACTGGCTGTTGGTTTGACATAGATAGCTTTTATCATATTAAGGTAAAGACCATCTATTCTGATTTTCTGTAGAGTTCTTATCATGAATGAGTGTTGAACCTTAACAAAAGCTTTTTCTGCATCTATAGAAGTGACCATGTGATTCTTATTTTTGGCTCTATTGATATGATGGATTACATTTATTGATTTGCATATGTTGAACCATCCCTGCATTCCTGGGATGAATCCCACTTGGTCATACTGTATAATCTTCTTGATGATTTGCTGCATTCTGTTTGCCAATATTTTGTTGAGAATTTTTGCTTCTATGTTCATTAGGGAGATTGGCCTGTAGTTCTCTTTTTTGATTGGGTCTTTCTCAGGTTTTGGTATTAGCATAATATTTGCTTCCAGGAATGAGTTAGGGAGAATGGCTTCCCTTTAAATTTCATTGAAGAGTTTGAGAAATGCTGGAATTAAGTCTTCCTTCAATTTGTTGTAGAATTCCACAGTGAATCCCTCAGGACCTGGGCTTTTCTTTGTTTGTAAGGTTTTAATTACATTTTCAATGTCATTAATTGAAATTGGGTTATTCAGCAATTTTACATCTTCTTGATCCAGTTTTGCTCACTCAGGATTTTAGGAATCTTTTTATTTCTTCTGTGTTATTAAGCTATGAGAGTAGAGGTTTTCAAAATAGATATTGATGATCATCTGCATTTCCACAGAGTCTGTAGTGATTTCACTCTTTTCATTCCTTATTGCATAAATTTGAGTTTTTTCATTGCTTTTTAAAATAATGTTGGCTAGAGGGCTTCTCAATTATATTAATTCTTTCAAAGAACCAACTCTTTGATTCATTAATTCTTTGTATTGTTTTCTTAGTCTGTATTGCATTGATTTCTGCTCTGAAATTTATAATTTCCTCTCTTCTTTTGGCTTTGGGTTTGACTTGCTCTTTTTTTCCTAGATGTTTGAAGTGTAGCATCAGGTTGTTTATTTATGTTCATTCTGTTTTCCTGATGTGGGAGTTCACCACAATAAATTTTCCTCTGAGATATACTTTCATTGTTTCCCTCAGGTTCTTGTAGGTTGTGTTTGCATTTTCATTTGCTTGTAGATATTGTTTAATTTCTTTTTTAATCTCCTCCATGACCTACTGATTGATCAGGAGTGTATTATTCAGTTTACATTGTGTGTGGAATTTTTGTAGTTTCTTTTATCATTAATTTCTAGTTTCATGGCACCATGATCAGATAACATGCAAGGGATAATTTCAGTTCTTTTGTATTTACTTAAGCATGTTCTGTGGGCTCTCATATGGTTTATCTTAGAGAATGTTCCATGTGCAGCTGAGAAGAATTTATATTCTGATGTTGTTGGGTGGAATACTCTGTATCCTTCTACTAAGTCCATTTGTTCACAGGTGTGATTCAGTTCTATCATTCCTTTGATGATTTTCTGTCTAGTTGATCTGTCTCCTTGCGTCAATGGGATGTTAAAGTCTCTTGCTAAAATTGTGTTATTCTTTATTTGATATTTCATTTCTGGTAATATTTGCTCTCACATTTGATGTATATATATATTTAAGATTGTTATCTCTTCCTCTTGAAGTTTCCTGTAACTAGTATGTAGTGACCTTTTTTGTCTCTTTTAATCATTCTTTCTTTTAAGTTCATATTGTCTGCAAATGTTTGGGAAAATTTCAGCTATTACTTCTGTGAATAGTCTTTTGATGTTATTCTTTGCATCACCTTACAAATGTTGAATTGTTATTTCTTGATTCCCTGTTATCTTGCTCTATTTAGCTAAATATTTCACTTTTGAACTTGTCTATGAGGTCCTGAATATATCTCTTTATGTCCACTGGTGTTGTGTCTGATATTGCATGTTTGCTGTTCTCATTCTCCTTTGTATTTATCTGTCCTGGGTCAATGTTCTCAGGGTTGGGGCCTGGGGACTTTTTGTTGTTGCTTCCTCTTCCCATCTTTTTTGCTTCTTCCAGGAGGCCCCAGCTTCTTTCTTTGTTGGTTACAATTCTTCTGAAGTGCACTGGCTAGATGACCCTTCCCACTGCCATGTGCTAGTGAGTTGCAGACAGGGACAGTGTATGCTGGCCCCTCCCCTTCAGATAAGTCAAGCTGCTGTGGCCTGCACTGTATTACTATGTGCCGCTTCCCCTCCAGGTCAGTCAAACTGCTGTGGCCTGTACTGTATTACTTTGTGCCACCTCCCCTCCTAGTCAGTCAAACTTCTGAGGCTTCACTGGGTTAGTGTGGTTAGTGTGTGCCATCGCTGTAGGGACTTGATTTCAGATAACCTATTGGGTTTCAGCCAGGTCAATGACCCAGGCCTAGCTCACTCCACCAATCCCGTTTGGGAAGGGAACACTTGGCTGGTTACTGCTG